AGATCTGTCCTTTATCTTTAATCTATACAGCAATAATAATAATCTTACAGTAGTTTGCAGCTAATCGCCATTCTGTGAATAACTTTCAACTTCAATTGGTATTTTTCGGCAACATTTGATTTGTCTCATAATATATAGTAGTATAAATTATAGCAATAAAAATACATAACATCGTAGTTTGTATGCGGCGTTTTTGATACTTGATTTGGGTTAACGATACTGTTCCAGGCTCCTCACACTCGCGGACCAAGAACAATGACATCTCTCGACATGTCCAAGTTAGTCTGGGAGTATTTGTCCGCACCTGCACAATTTAGTTATTTATTTGGAAACATGTGCATTGTCCAATCATGGATGATATTTTATCTATGAGAATCTGTTTTTTATCATTTGATTTGAACTGAAGTTCAAAATGCGCACAAATTTCTTTCAGCATCGTTATTTTAAAAACAGATATAGGCCCGGTTTAGACGGCGAACTTTTCATGCGCCGAATCTAATGTAAGGATTAAGTGCGACGCTGGGACGGCGTCTAAATCAATTAAGTTCGACAGGTTTTGATTAAGTTCGACACGACTCGAAGATGCGACAAGACAAGTCGTATATGCGACACAAGTTCGACATTGATTTAGACACCGTGCTTTTCATGCGCCGAACCTAATGGCATAATTATTTTTTAACATCATAATATGATTACCATATATTTGCATTGTAAATATGTCCAATATAGTGTCCTCGCAATTTGGTACGGCACCGATTAAGTTTGACGTCTAAATCAGTTTCCAATATTTTGCCGTATCTACGGCAATTAGATTCGGCGCATGAAAAGTTCGCCGTCTAAACCGGGCCATAGGCTCTTCTGTTTGTACATGTCACATAAATCATACGCGTCGTGGTATATAGGACGGCATACGTCTATCTCAGGAAACATTTTCCACAAGTGGTCCACAAGCATTTGTCTTTGTGCTTTTTTATTATTATTTTATAAATTAGAGAAACTTAAAATTTGGCTGCAAACGTAATCTACCTCGAAATTTTTTCGACAACTCCCGAACGTTTGATTAAAGATTACATTTGCGAGATTAAATTGTTTGTTGAAGAATTAACACGCGAAAAATAACTATCCAGGTAGCAAGTTAACTATTTAATTTCGTAATATAGCGTGTATTCTATTTATGGCACACTCATCAGACATATTAATTAAACAACGATAATATATTGTACATTATGTTGGCGTGCAACAATTTAGTGATTTTAATCAAGTTTAAAACGACCAATTGTAAAGGCTTCCCGAAAGCTTAAAAAGTTACAAGGCGGTGTTTGTATTCAAATATAAGAACTTATAAACACTATTTTATATTTATAATAATTGCTAATATAAATTTATAAAAGCTCCACGAGAAACGCTGAACGTGTTTCCGGTTATCACAAAGGTAAACAATAGAGCCATTTATAGCCATAATTTATGAATTTTGTACTCCTTCATATTCCTTTTGCGACAAGTTTTATTGCGAATAACAGAACTTCAAGTATTTTACTTTAACCCTAAGTTATTCATAGAATGCATGGGGATTAACTGCAAAATACTGTAATGTTATTATTATTATTGCTGTATAGATTAAAGTGAAGATAAAGGACAGATCTCAGTATACGACGATTTGAATGGTTTGCATGATGGGACAAAAATTCTGCCAAATGGGCAATGAGGAAAACTTTTAACAGAACATAATAACAAGTTCATGGATTTATTAATTCGATGCGACGTTACGGCAACCGATACATTTTTGACATTGACATTCTACTTGTCCGGTCATGAGGGATAGGCTACAACGTCCTAGACGAATTTATTTCTTCTAACCGTTTTAGACCTCAAAGATCGATCCGTCGCATTTCATCGATCGAATTAAACTTTTCTGAGTTAAATACAATGATATTGTGCAATATATTAGTCGCTATAAAAGCTCCGCGAGCAACACTGAACGTGTTTCCGGTTATCACAAAGATAAACAATAGAGCTATTTATAGCCATAATTTATGAATCTTGCACTCCCTCATATTCCTTTTGCCGACAAGTTTTATTGCGAATAACATAACTTCAAGTATTCTACTTTAAACCTAAAAGTGTTTTAGACACCAAGTAGGTTGCACTTTTGAGAATTTTTAGTTTGAATTTTGTACCTAATCATTAGTTGTTCGGCGAACGAAAATACCGACTTCCTTGAATGGAGAGTAGTAGGCTTAAAATAAGATGTACATTGAAATACTTTCATCATTCTAAAAGAAGAAGAATATGTTTCAATACGCTGAAAAAAGTTTTTAATTTGACGCGAAACTTTCCGAGTTATGATGCACAATTTAACACACAATTGACCGCCGTTTTCTGGGTCAAATTTCAGAGTCGCTGACGTCTAGACAAAAATTCGTCATAACTCAAAAAAAAAGAAAAATTTAGAAATTCTAATCTTAGTTTAATACCTTTTAGGACAAAGGTAGTTCATGGTAAAAATATAAAGGAAATCTAATTTTCAACTTGAAACGCTCTGCATGGTTCTTAGTGAGACAGCCACTTAAATGTTCAAATATAATTTCCGTTATTGCATGAGCGTAATATTGAGTGAAGCATATACATCGCTCATTTTTATTGAAAAAAATATGTGTGCACATGTGATATCGATTTTAGCATGCCTACACTATTGTATCTGCATGCGATCGGCTAAATGGCTGTTCCCTGGCTGAAATATGAAACGAAATGAACATTGTTTATCGCTTCCTTTCCTTAACACTATGTCAGCAAGATATCCTGCAACGATTAGCTCTGTTTTCGGTGCGCGAACATTGCGCAATTGACCAAGTCAGACAGCAACTGGAATAATTATGGCAATGTGCGTCTTGCGCAACGCAGATGCCGATTTATTAATTTTTTAAAACAATGAGATAATTATTAACATAACAAATTATAAACCGAAGTTAATTATTAAAAGTTCGCACAGAAAAGGTGGGGTAATAAATACGCCACGAGTCTCCTTGGGTAAAGGAGGCATACCCCATCTAATCGTTACAAGGTGCCGGCAGACATAGTGAGGTTAAAACCTATAAAAACAATTTCAAAGCGAAATCAGTGCGTGGATTATTACTGTCATTATTAAGCAAAAACATGATAAGCGACCACCGACAGTTTGTGCCCATGCGTTAAACTGCCAGGGGATCGCCAACCTGCTAAAGCGAACGATTGTGTAGAAGCCTTGCCCATGCGTTAGCCTCACAGAGAACGTAAAACAGTGATTTTAAGTGACACGTACAATTCTAGTATCTTAACACGCACATTCCTATATTATATCAAATCTTGCCCTTGCGTCGACTTGACAAAGTGTACTAATAGACAATTCCCATTATAGACTAATTTTAAAACTAGGCAAGGAAATGCAAATAAATCACCACAGCTAGAAAGAGAATACTAAAATTAGTAAAATTACAAAATTTGGTTGCGAAATGTTGTAAAATGTGGAAAATATAGCCTTGCAAAGTTCGCAAATTTTGTATACTTTTGTATTGCGTGCGACCATTTTCGGCCTAAATGTGGTAGGAATGTGGTAGGGATTTCCGCAAGCAATACAAAAGTATACAAAATTTGCGAACTTTGCAAGGCTATATTTTCCTCATTTTACAACATTTCGCAACCAAACTTTGTAATTTTACTAATTTTAGTATGCTCTTTCTAGCTGTGGTGATTTATTTGAGTTTCCTTGCCTAATTTAAAAATTAATTTACAATGGGAATTGTCTATTACTAAACGGGTTTATCAACAGGCAGCCACAATCAATCCCCACAAAAAGCCCGGCCTGTATAGTCGAAGTGTCTGATTTAAGTCACAAACCAGGAGCACGAATATACTTGCGGAAAGCGTCGGATTTCCAACGGCCCATTAGTCGTATTTGGGAATCGGAAAAACCGCATTCGGCAGCAAATTTAGCCGCGCCGATGCGAAAACTATGTCCTTTGTACCCGTTTGCATCGAGACCGCACGTGCGAAATATAATAGCTAAATGGTCGGTGAACATTTTGCGTGAAATTGCATGCCCGTCACGAGTTTGAAAAAGAGGGCCATCAGCTAAACCACGATGTGCAAAATAGTCTAGTAAGCTCTGCACTGGGCATACGTCTGAACGTCGGTGAAGAGTGAGCGAGACGTTAGCTTGGTTGTAAGAATGCTTAAAATTCAAAAAAATTATTTTTCAACCGCTGACGTTGCCCGCATTGTCCACGAGTTGAACGACCTGCTTCAATTGCTGTTGCGACATAATGTCGGTATCATGAAGTAGTGAAATGATGTTCCCGGGCGCTTTCGTTTTCGGACGTTGTATATACGTCACAGAATAAAGATCAGTAACAGAAGGGCAACTCAGCGGTGCAACGTGTCCTCGTTTTTTTATGCAAAAATATGCAGTTTACTGGCCAGAAGGCGGAGCAGCCAGCCAGTACAGCGTGTTTATTGGCCAGAAAATGTCATTGACTGGCTAGGAAAATGGCGGCCAACATGCGTAATGCGACATGCGCGAGGACAAAAACTTCAAAGCTTCCGACGTAAGTTGCCCTTCTATGTGGATCTTTATTCTATGATATACGTTTTGTTTTGAAGAATTTCACATTTGAAGAATTGCAGAACATCGTGTACATTTATTTAATTTACTACGGTATTATGTGGACAAATACAGTTATCGTGAGTAAATACTTATGACATTCATATTGCATTTGATAAAGAAAAGATACATTATTATTTAGGCGATCGTTTGTATCGTGTATTTAAGTTCACGTTTTTATTTGTAGTTGAATCGTCACCAAGGATAGAAATGTGAAGTATACTGGCATTTAATTATATCGTAAAAGAGAAGACGTATTCGAGGCTGTGTTGTGTGTTTAAATATATATATACTGTATCAATGAGCAATTTCTGTTGTGATTACAACATTATTCAAGATAACTACTTCATGTAAGCTCGGTGAAATGTTGAAAGGAGAGGGTTCGGAAGGCCCTGGGCCTAGAAATGAGGATGTGTGCTTGTCTGCAGAGTCTGTTGACAGAGAATTAGTGGAAAAAATTGGAGCACTTAATTTGTCAAAAGCGGCATGTATAGAGGGCTTATCCTTATTGTATAAAGATGTTGAAGTGTTACTAGCTAATGATGCACCCAAAGAGGAGCTGGACCGTTATCTAGAGAGAATAAGTGTTTCATTTGGTTATTTTCAAACTGTTCATTTGGATTATTGCCAGAGTTTGGAATCTAAGCCAGAATTACTTACAGAGGCCCTGCATTTGTACAACAAACAGTTGCGAAAGAAACTTGATATAGTCAGCAGGTTACATAATACCATGAGAGGGGAAGCGGAAAGAGAAATGTTCGATGTAAGACCCGAGGACTCGGTGAGTAGAGCTGGATCACGGCGGAGTAGCAGGTCGTCTCTGGGCTCAGTACCAAGTTCCGCCTCAAGTTCCGAAATTAGAAGAGTTAGAGCTAAGCAAGCAGTAGCTCGGTTAAAATGAAACAGTTAAAGCAAAAGCAAGAATTGCTCAAGCAAGAAGAAGAGATAAAAATAAATCGAGAAATGTTGGATATTCAGAATGAAATTGAACAAGCCGACTTAGAGGCCCAAATTATTGACTATGACGAGTGTCCAGATGCCTGCAATGTGCAACCACCGACAGGTAAGCTTGATCCCAATCCCAAGGAGGGTGTACAAATGGACACCAAAGGCCCCCTTTGTACAAGCATTGTCAGACCAAAACAAAGTACCGAAAACAACATGATGGAAACTCGCAGCAGTATCAACTTGGGTAGAACTGAAAATCAAATACCCCCCATTCGCCCCATGCTATTACCTGACACTATTGTTAGCAACGAGTCAAGCGCCGGGTTAAATGTGAAAAACGACCACAATGATTTACAGCAGCTGGCTATGACGATCAGGCAAGGTTTTGTTCTTCCGAAGCCCGACTTACCGAAGTGCGATGGGAATCCTTTGAATTATTGGGGATTCATTAGATCCTTTGAGAATACGATAGAGCGTAACACCTTCAATGAAAACGAGAACCTGATGTATCTACTCCAATACTGCACAGGAGAAGCAAATAAAGTCATTCGTAGTTGTGCTATGATGGATCCAGCTGAAGGTTATAAAGCTGCGCGTAAGCTGTTGAAAGAAAGATGTGGTCACCCCTATAAAATTGCCATGTCCTGTATTCGTAACGTAATAAATGGGGTTCAAATTAAGGCTTCAGATAGTGCTGGTCAACTAGCCTTTGCAGATCAGTTGATGGAGTGTGAAACCATCTTGGACGCAATAGGTTATCTTGATGAAGTCAACAGCTCCGACAAACTAAGGCGAGTCGTTGAACGCTTGCCTTACCATATGAAGTCGAAGTGGCTGGAAAGGGCTCAAGAATTGTTGTAGGCGGGCAAAATACCAAGGCTTAACCACATCTCAGAATTTGTTTATTTTTAGATAATCCTTTATTTTTAGATAATGTTGAACATATAAGGACTAAAACGCGAATAAAACGAAAATAAACGTGCTTTATACTTACATCCATCTACTTCAAACGCCATTTTGTTCTCCTCGTGCGACTTGTTTACAAAGTCCAAACTTTTATTTTCAAACTTTTATTTTCAAACTTTTATTTTCAAACTTTTATTTTCAAACTTTTATTTTCAAACTTTTATTTTCAAACTTTTATTTTCAAACTTTTATTTTCAAACTTTTATTTTCAAACTTTTATTTTCAAACTTTTATTTTCAAACTTTTATTTTTAAACTTTTATTTTTAAACTTTTATTTTCAAACTTTTATTTCCAAACTTTTATTTTCAAACTTTTATTTTTAAACTTTTATTTTTAAACTTTTATTTTCAAACTTTTATTTTTAAACTTTTATTTTCAAACTTTTATTTTTAAACTTTTATTTTCAAACTTTTATTTTTGAACTTTTATTTTCAAACTTTTATTTTTAAACTTTTATTTTCAAACTTTTATTTTCAAACTTTTATTTTCAAACTTTTATTTTCAAACTTTATTTCCAAACTTTTATTTTCAAACTTTTATTTTCAAACTTGAAGTCTAGGCGGACACCAAAGTAATTTGGCATAAAAGCAGCATTTAATTGATTAAATCTCCAACCCCCGCGCGACCATCCTCCCATTTAGTGTCATTACATTTATAACAAAAACTATTGTCTTAACTTAGATCTTCTAAAATTTAAAACCCATGCTGTTACAGACAATTTCATAAATATACTTCTTTCAGCCTACAAGAATAACTCATCATTCAGCCGAGGTGTGGAAAATACAGCGGACCATGGGACTATTGGTCCTAGAACATTTTTATGCAGGTAGAAAGAAAAAAGGGAAGGAAGAAAAAGGGGGAAAGAAAGAAAAGAAGGAAAAGGAAAGAAACAAAAAGAAGGAAAGAAAAAGAATAGAAAGAAAGAGAGTAACTGTACCAAATAAATAGCCATTTTGTTCAAGGACAGACACTAGGTGTAGGGGGTGCCCCCAAAATAATTTACGAAAGAACTTTGATAGCGGAATGTAACTTCGTTTGCAGGCAACCTTGTTCTACCTCCTTTGGCCCTTTGTTGGCTTTGTATCATATCATTGCCCTGGTTTCAAAATTTGCTATCCATATCGTTCCCCTCCATCCTTAATTTCGATTCCCAATTTTTATTTCTATAGAAAGTAGTGACAGTAACAAATGACTTTATTAGCATGACTTTACATAAGAGTATTATTAGCATGACTTTACATAAATTTTGATAGGTTTATCACGGTGTCATTATCAGTTGATTTCATTACCTCTGGTAAACCCTAACCTGAACCCATCACCACTGATCCCTTAACACCCGTCAAGGAGCGAATCTCTCCCAGAGGCTGGCATCAACCTTCCATGTCCTCACCTTGTCGGTGGTTTGCACATAGAGATCCCCATCAGAATGACGCTTCTAACCAACGCCTCAAACACCTGCTAGAACGCCAAATGTTCAACCCTCATAGTTTCATCATAAACGTGAGCTACTCGAAGGTTAACGTCAATGTATACCTATATTACGCGCACAGCAAATTTTTAGAACTGTACGGGCAATACTAACAATAAACGGTGTCATGAACCACCACGTGCAAAGAGAGCTTACCATAGCCAAAAAAATGAGTGTATGGTGATATGAAGTTATTGATTCAGAACGCAAGAGAGGAAAACCGCTGGTGGTCTCATGCAGCACCACACATTACCACAGCCAAATCAACGACCTCCACCACCTGCAGCTGATGTAGAACTTTTATTTTCAAACTTTTATTTTTAAACTTTTATTTTTAAACTTTTATTTTCAAACTTTTATTTTTAAACTTTTATTTT